GCTCACCAGAGACCCCAGGCAACTTAGATGAGCAACACACGAGTTTTACTTTCAAGAGTAATGCCAATAGTCTAGGCAACTGGGGTTTGGTTAAGGCACTAGATAAAGAAGCAGCACTCAGGAACCAGCAGTTAGCGTAATGGCTATGTCGCTGGATTCCCACATAGTCGACCGCGGTTCGCGTCCTGGACCCAGTGGTTTGAACTCACGCCCAGCGTGTGTGCATGCGTGCCCAAGATCCCAAGAGGAGAATGGAGGAGAAGGGATTGCAGCATGACCATCCCCCCTGGGGGTGACTTCTTGCTTTCTGTCTCTATGTCTCTCTCTGTCTGTCTGGCGAGCACACGCGTCCTATAGCAAAAACCTCTCAAAAAAAAAAAAGAAGCAGCACTCAGCAGCTAGTGACCCTCATGACCCTGGGCCTTCTCACCCCTGGTAAATCCTGCAACTCTATCTCCTGAAGCCTTAATGGTGTCCTTAAAAGGGAAGGAAAGGAAGATGCCATCAGCTTTTACATGCAAACTGGAATCTTCACTCTCCTTAACATCACTTTAGCATACTCACTTTTTAAGATCAAATACCGTGACTCTGTTCCCCACAGGACTGATAACTGAATTCCCATCACATGTAAAATTTAAGTTTCCACGCCGATAAACTGTGCCCAGCAAATTTGAAAACTGAAAAGAAAAAAACGTCTTAACACAAATAAAATGGAGTGTCTACCTAGGAAAGGGCTAAGTGAGGCACTGGCCAGAGAGGTGACACAGACAGTCCCCACTGCAGGGACCCTGCTCCCTCCTCAGCCTCTCCAATAACTCTCTAGGATACTTCCTGGATGACAGAGGAAGAAGCAATCCGGATCTTTAGAGTCCAGGCAGCCTGGGGCTCCCACCAAGGTGGATGGAGGTCCCATGATGAGCATCAGGGAAGCCTCTCAAGACAGGGAATACCAAGCGAAGATGGTTACAGGATCCATGTTTCAGAAAAAGAAATGCTGCCACCATGGACAATTCTCCAAGAGAGCAAGGCACCAAACGGTATCCCATGCCACTATTTATTCACTCAGCAAGCCTGGGCAATTCGCTGCACACCACTGTGAGAACAGGCATGCACGTCTGACACTACCTGACAGGAGGTGTGATGAGAAACCCATGATCAGATGCTGATGTGTGAGAGGTGAGCGGAACCAGCAGAGCAGTGGGTATGGGGGGAGCCACTTAAGAGGGTAGTGAGGGAAAGCCACTTGGAGGGGCCACGTGAGCTGGTTCCTTCTGAATGTAGCTGGCTGCTCCCCCGCTGGGGAAAAGAGGGTCCTGCGCCCTCCTAACACGCCCACACCCGGGGTACCTCTTAACCCTTCCCAAAGGTGCTGCTGACCTCGGCAGAACCGAGTCTCCCTCGAGGCTAGGTCACGCTCACGTTAAAACTGGGACCCCTGACCTCCCCCGACCGACTCCTCTGAGGAGCACTCAGGCCCGCTGTCCGCTTTCAGGGTCCTCCCGCAGCGCCACCGCGCAGGTCGCTGCCGACCCGCATGCAGGCGAATCCCGAGAAAGACCTCCACGGGGCCCCTCGCCCGGCGCGCGCCCGCTCCGGCCCGCAACCACGCCAACCAGACAGCTGCACTCACCCGGTAGGCAAACTTCATCGCGTCCACCTGTCTGCTGCGGCCTGGGGCCAGGTCACCTGTGGGGTGCCCCCTGGACATCTGGAACCTCTCAGCCCAGTGGCCCGGGGCCAACCAAGCACCTGCCACATCACACCCCTTCCCTGTCTGACTCAGGTGTGGACACCCTCGGGGCCTTCCCACTGCCCTGCCAGGCTAAGGCGTCCCTCTCTTCAGGCCTCAGGCCACCCTGTAAACACGCTGGCTGCCCTGTCCCTTCCCAGCCCGATCTCCAGAGCCTGCTCACATGGCTTGGCTCACCACAGGGTCCTGTTCACACCCTCGAGACCCTGCAGGTGTGGTCCCACCCGCCCACTGGCTTCGTCCCCATGTCACCTTACATCTCCCTCCCCGAAGCCCTCCTGCTGGCCTTCCCAGGAGACCAGGGCCACCTGCTCTGGAGCCCTGCCCCACTGGTCAGTGCTCACCGGCTGAGCCGTCCACCTCGCCCGATCCTCAGAGGGCCAGGTCAGTCCTAAAGCACCCTCCACCCCAGGGTCTGGCCCACACAGGACACTGTCCACACCGCACAGGGCGTAGTAGGGACGCAGGCTGGGCCACCGCTACCAGGCGGTAGATAGCGGGCCCCACCTGAGACGCCGTCCTGGGTCTGAGGCTCCATCCTGCCAGCTCCCTGGCTCCCTCATTCTTGCCTTCCCCATCGTCTGCCCCAGACCCCGGCTTCCAGAAGGCAGCGGCTTGTAC